CTGAAAGAAAAAAAAACATTCCCGCCACTGGAGTGACAGGGTCACAGCCCAAACAGCCCAAGGCTGAGAATACCAGGATGTTGTTCCAACGATAGAACCAAGAGAGAACTCTGACACGACGCAGAGCGACTGAACGTTCTGCGAATGTGTCGAAAAGCGCGTCCTCACAGGACGATGGTTAACGCTCCCAGCTGACGGCGGTCTCCGCACAATGACCGCAAAGAGGAAACAATCACCGTGTCAACTGTCTTCTACCTTTAAACTACGACCCTTTACAAAAACACAAAAATTCCCCCCGGTCTGTAGGTGGGGGTAAAAACATTTAAATTCCTGTTACACCATGTTAATATACTGGTGCATTTTTTTATATCAATCTAATCCTGTAAACTGGGTCGGATTTTTACCAAAGAATTATGAAAATATTTGGGGCGGTATACCGACTGTCGATTGGATAAAAAAAAAAAAGTTTTTAAAAAAAAATGTAGATCCTCTGTTCAAAAGTTACCTCAATAATGACGCGACTATAGTATCGCAACATATAGTATCGTTGTCCCGTATCGTGATACGTATTGTATCGCCTAAAATTTGACAAAAAAACACACATGAAGAAACAAACATGAAGAAGCTAAGGTTTCATCAAAAAACGTACCCAGAAAATAAGAGCGGATTCTTCCCGTCATGGCAGCTGAAGTGAAGGGGGTTAAGGGCCCCGCCGGCCCCCCTTAAGGTGTAGATGGGTGAGGGAGAGGGGCGAGACATGGTTGGTTCATAAAGTCGGCTCTACCATTAGCGGCCACTGGGGAAAAAAAAAAAAAAAGTTAGTGAATAATTAGAGAAGCCCTAAAGTTTACGACGACTTTTATTTATCTTGTAAACCTGAGGACAAATATCGCAGAAAGTCTTTTATTTTGGCAGAAACACTGAGCTCCAATTCGCCCCCCAGCCTTTTTTTTTTCTCTCCTTCACAAATGAAAGTGTTTTTTTTCTTTCTTTTTTCTTGTTTGTTGCTACAAACCCCTTTGACTTTTTCTCGGCGTCTCTTTCTCTCTCTCTCTCTCCCTTGGTTTTTATGTGATATCGCCTCTTCTTACTAAAAGATGTCGTAAATCACGACCTCTGACAGCTTAATTACCGTAAACAGACAGAGACTCGAGCTTCTCACTCTGCCGTCGTCCCGCAGGTAGAAGCAGGAGCCAGGAGTTTTGTTTTTTTTTGGTCATTTGTCAGCTCCGGCACCTGAGGAAAACCAATCGACCACAGGTATGCTGCGAGGAAATCACGTGTCAACAAGGATTCGCAACTCAGAAACGGAGCGTCTTCGTCTGAACATCAGATCTTCTACAAGTCCGTTGACTCGATCGCTGGGACGAGAAGACTAAAAAAAAACAGGTGTCTTTTTTTTTAGAACATCTCCTGAGTCACCGATACGTCAACAACCAAACATCCAACATGTGAGGAAGTGGAACTGCGGAGACGCCCGAGGCTAGTCACTACATTTTTTTTTCGTCTCCTTGGCACGGTGAGAAGTTTCCCGCCGTTATCTGCAAACACGTGTCCAACAAGTCAACATGAGCATGAGTTTCTACAAGAAAACACCGACAAAGACTCACCGCAACTCTGAAGGACTAGCATGGACCATTTTCACTCATGTTACTGCCCAGTAGGGGGTGTAAGAAAATATTGATGCACTGAAATATTGCGATATTTGGTTTCCTGATCCCTCTCAGTCTTTTCTAAATGATGTTAGTAACCCGATGTTGAGAGAAAAAAAAATCTAAATATATTGTGGCGCATATAGTATCGCAAAATATCATGTCATTGCCCCTATATCAAGATACATATCCTTGCCACTCCACACCCCTGGTGGACATGGACATGTATATTCAGTTTAGTCTGAGTGGTCTTGTGGACGATGAGTCAGTGCTCTAAACATCGGAAATCTGAATCGGCCCACTACCCCACTTTCACAAAAGGGTTAAATGAAGAGGACACTTCTGTTGAGGATAGTGATGTGTACAATGACAACACTTCTTCTTCTTCTGCTTCGCCTTAATGAGTTTTACTTATCGTAACCTCTGATCCCTGCGATCAGCAGAAACTGAAACTGGAGCCCGAGGCATTCGGGAGGAGCCCGGTTCAGGAGGTTAGTGGTTAAATTGTCCATGTGAGGCCATGAAGCATGAAGACAGACCTCGGAGCTGTCCGTCCGACTGAGGACACTGCTCCACACAGGCTACAAGTCTCCAGGGACGGAGGGACGGGACAGGCGACGGCGATACCCGCAATCAGTCAGTTACCTAGACCTGAACAAAGTTGGGATGACTACGAGTATCGGGCTGCGTCTGAAGTCAATGATAACATCGGGACGCGGCCCGAACTGAGCCGCCAACGCTTCGGAAGGTTGAAGTCAATTGGAAAATATCATCAAAAAAGTAATGATAGATAGATAGAGTAATCACAGGTACGACAGGTCACATCACCTTCCGGGACTCGAGGACAAACCAAAACCAAACCGAACCATGAAAACCAACCCCCCGAACAGAATGCTCTCCCCCCGTTCGCCATGCGTCAGAATTTCCATGTGCCGAACCGGGCCCTGACATCGCCTCTGTTGTGGTGGACCGTGAGTCACACACACAGGAAGTCCAAGAACGAAGAGACAGATACTGTAAATAAACTACAGTGCGGCCGAACCTCACACAAATCCAGCTGGGGGAAAACATTTTTTTTATAATTTTTTGACTCAGGAGGACAGGGGGGTTGACGTGATCCTCTGGTCAAACAAGCTCTGAGGGCTAAGATCTCAGCTGTTTAATGAAGCTCCGATATTACAACGACAGACGAGCGGTAGTCGAACCCGCAGCATTAATAAATCAGCCTGACTGACGCGTAAACCCAAGCTGGAGGTGGGAGTCAGTGGGAAGAGGCAGGACCGAGGCTCCTGCTGCCCCGTGACAGATAAGACAGCTCTGGGTAATCCGACTCTAAGTCCGTGGATAAAAGCAGTTTGTCTCTTCTTGGGCCGTCTGTCCACACCTCCCGGGTAATCAGGCCTAATTATGAGAGAAAGGTCCGCTTCCCCTTCATGTTATTAAATAAGAGCCAGCCTCGTTCACTGAGGATCTCTCAACACCGGCAAGGGGCTGGCCATATGAGGGTCGGGGAGGGAAGGACAGGTAATTCCTTGATGATACGGGGAAGCAACAGTTTTTTTGAACAGAGGTAGAGGGAAAGACGTGCCCGCATTCCTGTTTTAGCTCCTTGGTATCATGTGATCAGCGCCGACCCCACCTGAGCTGCCACCCCCCGTCAAATTCTGCCATTCATAAATAAAAAAGCAGACAGGGAGGGGTATACCGATCACAGGGAGTTATTATAGAAGCTTTATAAAGGCCCAAGCCACACAGGAGCTATTATGTAGGCATGGGATCCCGAGATCCTGCTGATACCGGCCTGGTCAAATATGAGATCTGAGCTGCTTGATGAAAACTGAAAATAGATTAAATCCTGGCTTGGAACCCGGGATTCTAGAAATCTCTGGAAGCGAAAAGACAAGGACCTTTTCCCTAAACATCCATCCATCTATTTTCATCTGTTACTGGGTCGCGGTACCATACCACTGCACCGTACCAACCCCCTCCCCCGAACCTTACTGCGGGTGGTGAGTCCACTGGAAGGTACCAACCGCCCTGACCGGGATTCGGGAACTTGCCCAGGAGGAGAACCCTGGGGTTCCACACCAATGACAGAGACATTCACCACTGGGCCAAAGTGCAACCTCCCGAAACATATTCTCCAGATTTTTTTTTTGTTTCATTTTATCACAACAGGTTCATCCATTAGCGCCGCTAATTTTCTCCCATTTTTTAAACTTAGCATGAAAAAGTCAGTCTAATCGCCAGGCTGGTCAAATAATGGAACGTAAGCCCCCCTCTCCACCCAGCCCAAACCTCCCGTCCTTCCGAGGAGGAAAGCCGTGCACCAAAAAGAGCCGGGGTCTATTCTAAAAGTCCAGTAAAACAAACAGCGGAGGAAGTGGCGAGGAAGACAAACGCCCCCTTTATTATGTCTTGGATGGGGGTATCTGGACTGAATAAACAATTGGGTGTCAGATAGAGACTGAAGGCAGACACAAGCGCACCAACACCCACTGTCAGTCACAGGTCCAATGAGCGGGAAGAGGCGGCATTGTTCGCGTGAACAGCGTGAATGCTAAGCAGGGGCCAGAGCAGATAAGAGCTCGATGCCTTATGGTCGTCGCTGAGGGCGGACACTGATGGAGCTCCCTGTCAGAGGCTCCCGTCTTAGGAAGTTCTGGTTGTGGTCAACAGGTACCAGGGGTCTTATCTGTTTGCATTATCACCCATTTCCTCCATGAGGTCATTTGCCTGGACACCAGAGGATAAAGGAACACAAGAACGAGCTGACAGCTCAGATGTCATCGTATGCCTCTTCACCTTTTGGGTGTGAAGGCTTTTTTTTTCCCGCTGTTCATACAGCAAAGACAACGTCGCTGTAAGCACAGAGAGGTATTACACGACAGAGTTCAAGACAGAGGGGAACAATAAGTTTGTACAGTGATTATGAAGGTATAAGTACTTCATGACGACGGATGATCTGATCTCAGAGCAGTACTGACGCAGACAGGGTGCTGAGTACTTCTTAATCGAACCAATCAGTGTGTTTTGTACAAACTTCCTTAAGAAACTAGTTTGCGTTTAATGAATATAACAGAAAAGTCAGCATCGTGTAGTATCGTGTACTAGTAATGCGACCGGTGTGATTTCTACTCTGACTTCGACTTCGCAACTGTTGTCGATAGTATCGTTATTTTATTGCTATATATTGAGGGAATTTTCCTGACTTTTGTTTTTAAACCGAATGGCTCGTAGTCGGTTGATTTTAAATAAATAATTTAATAATATTTTTAATAAATATAAATAATATAATAATCAGTTCGTTTGGTCACTGTTAACTGAACCATTTTCACAAACATTGATATAAAATAGACTATTTTTAATTTCATTTTAATTTATCAATTCTAGCTCATTCGGTGCTGTATAAAAAAACTTCGTAGGTTCGTACAAAGTTCGACGTAGCAGGATGTTTCTTGTTAGTTAAAAGAAATCCTGAAATGGAGAACTGTGAAGTTTAAGCAGAGAATTTAACAATTGACTAAAAATTATAAAATAAAAAAAGCGTCAAACTACTACATTTTTCATACCCTGGATGAAAAGCTAAAACCACGTTAGCTCGTACCCGCAGTGACACCACTTTAACGGCCATTATACACTTAAAATATCAGGATTTAAAGGCGGGAAAAAACACCGTGAGTTTAATAAACATTGTTATAAACAGTCGTGCGTTAAATACCATGGAGGGAGAAACTGCTGACGAACCACAGCTCACTTTTTCAGCTTCGGCGCCCATTTATAAACGGCGTAGAGCGAAAGGACCTCTGTTTACAACCAGCGAGCTGACCAAGGATCTGCCTGTTCAGAATACAATAACCTTCGCGGTTAATAACAATTCCCGGACGTTCTGAAGGAGGCCTGGGGGTGGGGGGCGACACTGCGTTGACCCTCACATTAGATGGAGCAACTTTACTATCAAGAAATATGATGTGAAATGTATTAAAAAGTGAATTTCCCGGACAGTTCCGTGATGACGTCAAGACACAGAGGGGCTTCTCTGTTCTCTGTCTTCTCTTAAGGCTGTCTGGCGTCCCACTGTATGTATGAATTACGTCCCAAAAAATAAAAATTAAAAATAAAAATTAAAAAATAGGAATAACGTATTCTATTCTAAATTCTCTATATTATTATTATTAATTTTTAAAAAATGTTAATTCTTCAATTTATGCTGAAAACTCTTCTCTTTTTTTTTGACTTGTTCATTCTACATACCACATGTCCGTGGATTGTCTTTAAAACTATTTCAGCCTCACTGAGAAAAGGGCAGACAACACAGGAGTTAATCCTCATAGCACACAGAGGCCTTTCATGGAAAACGCTGGGAGAAACTCTTTATTTGTCCACCGCTGGGCCAGGTATGAGCTGGAAGATTAGATGAAACCAGAGTGTTTTAAATCTCCTCCGCTGCGCCTGGATTAGAGTCTGACTGCACCCCCAGCCTCAGCCCCAGCCCCTGCCCCTGCTCCCAGCCCCTGCTCCCTCCAAGAGTAGAGTTGCCTTGGAGCTGGCGATAAAAAAAAGTAATGCTTTTTAACAAGTTTAGTAAGTGAAAAATGACCTTTTAATTACCAGCGGGGAGTAGGCCCAGTAGGTGGCAGTAACAACGCTCACGAGATTCACGTCTGCTGTTCAGGAACAGAGAAGAAAAAGAGTGGTTTAGCGTGTTTGCAGAGTTAGCTAGAGAGTAGAGCTGCCTCGGCGTTGGCGATAAAAAAAAAAGTCATGTTTTTGAAAAATTACGTTTTAATTACCAGCGGAGAGTAGGCCCAGTAGGTGGCAGTAATGACACTCACAAGATTCACATCTGCTGGAACAGAGAAGAAAAAGAGTGGTTTAGCGTGTTAGCAGAGTTAGCTAGCCTTGGCTAAAAATAAACTTGTACAAAATGAATCTGAAAAATAAAATCTTTAAAATGTTTCTGCTCCGCGTTTTATGTTACGTTCTTTCATTAGCCGGATTGCTAGGGGGCGGGGTCTCAGACTCATTTCAAAATCGCGCTGCCGCTATGTTACGTTGTCGTTAATGTTGCACATATTTGTAAGTGGCATTTCCATGTTTTTGGCGATAAATTCTATGAATTTATTTTTATATTTTTGAACGTGAGCGATCGATGTCCAGAACCAGCAGTTGAACAACATTTTGCGATAAAAAATTAAGTCATAATCAGAGACGTAAACACTCCACCGACTTCAGCAGTGACTTCGAACCAATTAGCACAAATGGAGGTGGCAGGAGAGCGGCCTCAGCAGGAGGTGGCAGTGAGAGATCGCAGACAGACCGATACCATGGCCTATATCGTCATCAATTATTACTGGTATCTCATCTTACCCCTGAGAGGGGGGTGAGGGAGGGTGGGGGCAGGGACAATACCACGGTGCACTTGAGACCTTCTACCTTGCTCTCTCCATGGGTCCTAGAAGGAGAGCAGAAGGTCGCGACTTGGTCAGAGTGTACATACAATACCGGCGTCCTGCCTGTTAAGGAGATCCCTGGAATCCCACTCTCCCCTGAGGTCATACATGTGGGGCGAGGGGGTGCCGCGGCGGGGGGGCGACAGGTCCAATTACAGTTCATCAACAAAGTAGACCTGAACTGCACTCCGGCCTGAGCGGCAACTACAGAGAGACAAGGAAAACGGAATAGAAGAGCGAGTGGAAAGACGCCGAAGTCCCGTCCTATTAACAGTACTCACTGTGTGGGGTGTTCAACCTCTGGGTTGTGGCACATTTATTTCCCTTTCGTTTGCAGGACCTCAGTGGCGCTTTAGTCCAGAGGCAACGTCTCTGTCATTGGTGTGGAACTCTAGGGTTCACCTCCTGGGCAAGATCGAATCCCAGTTAGGGCGGTTGGCACCCGGTTAGGGCGGTTGGTGCCCGGTTAGGGCAGTTGGCCCTAACCCCCCCGCAGGAAGGTTCGGGGGGGTTGGTACGGTGCAGTGTGATTTGGGTGGCGTGCTGCCCCCGCGACCCGGTAACGGATAAGCGGACAAAAATTAACGAATGAATGGATCTCAGAACTGTAATTAAGACGTGTGTCTTTCTTCAATTCCTGTGAGTGAATCAGTGTTGTGTTCAACCAAACAGGCCCCGGTTTCACACTGATTAAGTTGGTATCTGGGAATAAAAAAAAAAAACAAAATAAATAACAAGTCCAGCTTCATGTTGGCGTGTGTGTCAGCTGGTGTGTGAGTAATCATCTGAAGCGAAAGATAAGATACAGCGTCGGGGAGTGAGTGAGGGATAAGCGGGCGTCATCGCACACGCGTGACGGAGACGAGAGCGTCTCGTATTTGTCTTGGTCCGTGGGCAGGTGTGAATGGAAACATCTCAGAGAGAGTGGAGAGTGACTGCCCTGCACCGCCATCACTGTAAACAAGCACACGGCTCTGAGAAATGTGTGCGTAGCTTGGATTGCCCCCCCCGCCCCTGCCCCCGCCCCCTCCCTACTGGTGACCCCTGTGACCTTTAACAACAGACAAGAGAGTCGAGAAACGAGTTCATCTGTCGGGTCTAGAACTGCACCAAAAACAAATAATCCTTCCGAGGTTGTCGCTTTTTTAGGGCAGTGTTGACACTGGCGCCCCCCGCAGGTTTTGTTTGTTGTCCAGCCTTTAAAAACAGTTGAATTTTTTTTTCATTTTTACAGACGCGCAAAAGGAAACCACCGATGTTCTACGGCCGCGGTGGAGGTGGTTACATGTACACACACGTACGTTGTCAGCTTGAAGGTGACAGTGACATGGACGCTACCGAAATGTTGAATTTGTTGTGGCAACACGGAGCAACGTTGAAGGCGACGCTGCTGCCGCTTTTTTTTTTTTCAGGGATTTAGAATTAGGTGTTGTGAACACAGCACGTCCAGAATGTGACATTTAAACAAAAACACATACCGTACGGAGTATGTGTGTGTGTGTGTGTGTGTGAGCCCACATTTATGTCTGGTTGGTTGTTGGTCATTTCTGAAAGTGGGGGTAGGGGTAACAGGAAAAGCACAGGTTAAAAATGTTGCTTTAGCTTCAGTTGCAGTTTTGTACAGAGTCTGCTCTAGTGGCCAACTGTGGAACTGCAGATTAGATTAGGTTAGGAATATTACTGAATGTGATGAAGGTTCATGGACTTTATCAATGAAAGGAAAAAAACAAAAACAATTTTATCTTCAAATAAAAAAAACAAACGAGACTTTATCTTTGTAGAACTTGCGTTAAAATCAAAATGATTTATCACGAATATATTTTTCCTACGTGACATTTCCACATATTTATACAAACAAAACACTCATTTTTCATTAGCAGGAATCAATTCATCACAATTCTGTTACGTACTGTGTGTGTGTGTGAGACACGGACGTTGTGTCGAGCGTCAGCTCCGACTGATGCCAATAACAGCACAGGCTCAGATCTGCAGCCAGACGTATGGGTTAGAGACCGAGGAGTCGTCCTGGCACAGGAAGAAACTTTGATTTATGTGATGGGACTCAGACTGATAGAACACTAAATGCCCCCGGGGGCAAACACTGGAGAAAAAAAAAGTGCCACAATTACTGGGAGTACTCTCAGGATCCTTCATTTGAAAATACTCGAAAACTCTTCTTGTGGGAACATTAATTAAAATGTTCATGGTAACAGAGAGAAAGTAGAAAGACACGCAGCATATACAGTATATCTCTTTATATATACACACATACACAGGCACATACATGTGTATATATTTATATATGTGTGTATTTTTTATATATGTCTGTATATAAATATATATACACACATATACATATATACACATATATACATATAAAGACATATATACACATATATACATATAAAGACATATATACACATATATACATATAAAGACATATATACACATATATACATATATATACATATACATGTATATATACAGTATGTATATGTATATACACATACATGTATAGACATATATACATATATATACATACATGTACACACATAAATATACATACATGCATACATATATAAATATACATAAATATATATAAATATACATAGATACATATAAATATACATACATACATACACATGTATATACTGTACATATATGTATTTACATACACATACATATATACACATATATGCATACATACATGTATTTACATACATGTATATACATACATGTATATACATATATGTATTTACATACATATATACATACATATATATACACACACTTTATATGGAGAACTTTCCGAGGCGTAAACCAACCTTCACCTGGTGACTGCTGGTCCAATGGCCCCACGTTCCCACAATGGTGCAGGATGAAGATGCAGCGCCCCCCTCAGGTACATAATTCGGCAGAAAAGAGAAGAAATACAATCATTTAATTGTAATAAATGATGAACCAGAAACTGGACCAAACTGGACTGAACTGGACCAAACTGGACTGAACTGAACTGGACACATGGTCCACCACCATGGAAATTCACAACTGTCAACAATCTCATGGTACGACAGTCAAAGAAAATCACATCCCAGAGTTTACAAATATAATTTGATGGAACATGAATGCTACATCTATA